TGGCCTCGAGAGAAAATCCCACTTCTTCCAGTGGATACTTCTTTGCCCTTCGTCCCCAAATCCCCACCAAAATTCAGCACAGATCTTCGATATGGCTTTACAAATTGTCACGGGGAGCTTAAAACATGCCATAGCATATACTGGAAGTGCGTTTATAACTGCTTTAATCAGGACTTCCTTTCCGGCTACAAACAGCCATTTATTCTTCCATCCTGACATCCTCGCTTTCACTTTATCCAGAACAAATTTAAAAGTGTCAACCTTTGATTTTCCAATTCCCAACGGGAGCCCCAAATACCTGGTTGATGAATGTTTGGTAATGCCCTGGAAAATTGCACAAATCTGCAGCTGCAAATGCTCCGGAGTGTTTCGGCTAAAGAAAATGGCCGATTTGTCTAGATTCACCCTCTGCCCCGTAAATAGCCTGTATCTCTCGAGAATCTCAGTTAACTTGAAAGCTTGTTCGGGAACTGCTTTGCCAAACACCAAATACCTGGTTGATGTATGTTCAATGATTGATGTTGTTTCATCTTTTTGGAGAATTTTTTTCGTTTGATTTATTATGTTGTGGGATATGTTGCGTATATATATTTTTCAATATATGCTCCCGTAACTACAACCGACAGTATATGTTGGGTGTATAGACAATATATGTTCAGTATATATTTTCGTTTTTCGTGTGTTTATTATCTGGCCCGTGCTTCATTTGTTTATCATATACTCTATATATACTAAAATAATTTATTAAAATACTGGTTATGATCAGTTTATGATATGTATATGATGTGTTATATATTGAAAAAATTTCAAATATCACAATTATGGTTAAATAAAAATGTTGTATAAATAAAAAATCAGATTATATACTGAATATATACTGATTATAAACACAATATATGCTATCTATTCAAAAAATGAGTACGTTTGAATATTTTGGGCATATGAAAATATCACGATTGAACAAATTACTAATTAGTAGATAATATACACTTACCTTTTTTTTTAGAAAAAAAATCTCACACATGCGTGATTGAAGGAGATGTGGGGAGATGTGGAATCTTAATTACTTTGGTAACGGATATTTAGCCTCAGCACAATGCACTTCAAATGGTAATCATGCAAATAAGATTTCTCTCTTCGCACATATGCAATAAATTTCCTGGACTATATGGATTATATGGACTTGAAGCCCACATATTGTCATTTGGTGTTGGGCTTCATTTGACGGCGATCGATTTTATCGGCTCAAGCCGGTTCAGCTCCGCGCCGCCGCGCACAAGTTTATTTCCTTTCTCGTCGACTGTACACAGCTTCTAAAACCCTCACCAAGACGGCAAAAAACCCTCAACACCGTTCACATAAACCCTCGCCAAACTATTGAACATTTTGTTTTCTTAAAATCTCTCACAAAATCCTTGGATACATCCTGAAATGAGGCGGGTTAGCGGGCTTGCCACCGTTCGCCGCGCCGTGGGAGGCGTCGCCGCCGGGAACCACTCCAACCAGCGCCACGACTGCCTCTTCCAGGCGGCTCTTTTCAGCACGAACAGTAGCAGTAACTCTTCGGCTAAATCTCACTGGTTCTCGAACAACAGGATCTACGGCAATCAATCAGCTAGCGCCGCCGCGCACACTTTCGTGGGGACGATGTTGTTCTCGGTGGCCGCCACCACGCTTGCGGAGGAGGTCCACGCGAAGGAGCCCGTGCAGTTGAAATTCCGGCCGAAGGACGTCGTTCTTTATCAGTACGAAGCTTGCCCTTTCTGTAACAAGGTCAAAGGTATTCATCGTCGCTTGTGATTTATATTCGTTCTGTTTTCTGAAGCCACTGAATCAATATTGTGTTTTGGAAATATGACAAAAAAAAAAAAAGAGAACACTTGTTTTGTTACAGTTTTTTTACGATTTAGTGAAAATGTATTGTCATGATTTCTGGAATTTCTGGGCTACCATTTGGAGAACTGTTCTTGATTGAAGTAGCTAATCTGCGTTGATTTTCTCGACTGACCTGCATTTGGAATACGGTTTGATCTGTTGATGGTTAACGTAATATGAATGTAGATGGCTCGGTGAAATGAAGCTTAAACGAATGAATGTTCACATAAAAGATTCAGGTCTTCACTAATTGAGATGGCTAATGATTCTGTCTTGTTATTCACCACCTCGTGAAGTAAAGGAACATGTATAACATTGAACTATGCTATAACCTTTTCAGCTTTTCTGGACTACTATGATATCCCCTACAAAATTGTGGAGGTCAACCCTATCAGCAAAAATGAAATAAAGTGGTCTGATTACAAGAAAGTGCCGATTCTTATGGTGGATGGCGAGCAGATGGTTAACTCATCAGGTACTGAATATATATAAAATCGACATTATCTAATGTTCAAGTAACATGAAAAAATGTAGTCAAGGATACATTGTCTCGATAGTAGAATATTTAAGCAGAATATTGTCAATTATGGCTCACGAGATCGTCTATTTTCATTTACTTGCCTCTGTAAGTCTGATTGAGAAGGTAACAAAAAAGATTTCCCGTCATCTTCTTGGATATTTTTCTATGTAGATATAATAGATAAGTTGACCAAAAAGATCCATCCAGACGTGCCAGCTGATTCTGTTGCGGAAGATAGTGAAGAGAAGAAGTGGCGTGGGTATGTTCTTTCTCCTCATTTTCGTAGGAAATTAACCTCTTTTGTTTTGCTTTTCGCTGTTCGTGTGCAATCTATTGTGTGGACCCCAACAATGAACTATGTGAAAGCTTTTGTAATTGGTATAGCAATCGTTCTTAGTTTGGTGTCCGAATGATGATGATTTCTGTTTTCTCTTCTGAAATTGCATCTTTTTGTGTTGTCTATGTAGTTCTAACCTCAATACATTGATCTTCAGTTGTTTTGCTGTTGAGAGTTATTGGCTTTACTTTGCATATACATCTATTTTTTTTTCTTCCATAAATCCATATAGTGATGCAAGTGCAATCATTGCAGTTGGGTCGACAATCACTTGGTGCATATTCTGTCGCCTAATATATACCGGTCCACATCCGAAGCCCTTGAGTCGTTTGACTACATCACTAGCCATGGTCAGATTTTCTTTTAAAGTAAATAATAACATAGTTTCAAATTGCAATGATTTTAAGATGCAGTGTAAAATGTAAATGATTCTCCTGCTTTTGTAATTGGCTCATATGAACTGTGCACCATAACTCTTGTTTTTACAATTGTTTTAATCTCCTTTTTCATCTGTTCCAAACAAGCATCTGTCTTTAAACACATGCAGGGAACTTCAGTTTCACGGAGAGAATAACAGCAAAGTATGCTGGGGCTGCCGCAATGTATTTTGTCTCGAAAAAATTAAAGAAAAAATATAACATCACGGATGAACGTGCTTCGTTATATGAAGCTGCGGAAACATGGGTGGATGCTCTCAAGGGTCAAGATTTTCTAGGTCTGACATCCTTTTTTCTTCATGAGTATACATGATTACACTGAGATGTTACCATACTACAAACAATGACTAAAATCTCTCTCTTACATAACATTTTTGAGCCAGGTGGGACAAAGCCCAACTTAGCTGACCTTGCTGTTTACGGTGTTTTGAGGCCCATTCGCTACCTCAAGTCCGGTCGGGACATGGTGGAGAACACCCGTATTGGTGATTGGTATTCCCGAATGGAAAGTGCTGTTGGAGCATCTTCCAAAATCCAGGCCTAGAATTGTTTGCTCTAGTAAGAACAATCTGATTGAGTTTTGTTGATATCTTCGAAATTTGACGTGGTTAATAATCTCGACCGTCTCCCGTTTTATGGTTATGATAAGTCTTGATATAGGAAGATTATAGTTCATTTACTTGTTATAAGTGTTTTTACTCGTTTATTGGATGATGTTCTGCTCATAGTTTTCATGATGTTTGGATGGCTTTCTTTGGGAAATAAAGGATGTGAAGATGTGACTTGTCTCATCCTTTTATGCAATTATGAAATTTAAATCAATCATATAATTAAAAATATTAATAATCATGCTAAACTAATGTAATAGTTTAAAATGCATTAGATTTTGCATAATCATTATATTTGATCATATTAATGATATATTTTTATAATATCTCTTATAAATTCTACATAATTAATATAAATAAATTAATTAATATTTTTACGCTCGTGTCTAGGTGCTATGCTGACGAGGTCCAACGACTTTTGAATGAAACTCTAGAATTCTACTATTACACTTTGACCTAATTCGAATGTCTTTTCTCAAGAAAAAAGTAAAATAAAATTAGAGTGCATTATAAATAATAAAAGATTTAATGATTTATATAAAATTGTTCCAACCATCGAAAGTGAAAAGGCAAAAGGAAAACCTTATGCACCATTCTTCTCACCCAATAGTTTACCCATCAAATAATTTCTTAATCTTGTGTCAGCACATTAGCTCCAAACATTAAGATTTCATTAAGATTTATGAGGCTCGTATCCAGTTTTTCACCTATATTCTATGGTGGTTGTGGAATACCCCGAACTTATGGGTGTTTAGAGAGGAGTGGCTACTTGAAAGATTGATAGCGAAAAATGCTTGACTCGAATGGAGTGAGTTTCTTTCGAGTAGAACCAAGTGAGGGGGTGCAAGTAGAATTAGCAGATTAGGTTCTTATGTTCAATTTTCTTCTTTTTCTCCTCGTGTTTTTAATCTCTTGTTGGAACTTGTATGGGTTGTAAAAGGCTATAGGACCGGAGCGTTTGTCCTCGCTCCTTATTGTTGTTGCTTTAGTTGTGCTTTTAGGGCACCTCTCGAGGTGTTCCTCTCGTGGCTTTGGGTTGTAGTTGGGCTACTCGATCCCTAGGTATGTAAAACATTGTGTTTTGTTTATTTGAGTATTTCTGTCATTTTGGAAAAAAGAAAGTAGGGAGATGAAGACTCTATTTATTCTCACCTATTCTTCATTGTCGATCGGTTTTTAGCAAATAAAATATATAAATCTAGAGATTTATCTCTTTTGTTCCCTTTCGTATACGTTCGTTGCGTCATAACAATTGTAAAGAAGTAGTATAGGAAACAGAATTTAAAAAAGGCCAACACAACATATTTTATAGTTGTAAGAAAAGTGTATCCTAAATGCAACTTTATCAAATTTTGTTTTGCTTTTATATATATCATCAGAAATAAAATAAAAAAAAATATATATATAAAATTGAAAGCATGATTCTTGTTACAATGTGAAAATTTTGGAAGACAAAAATGTTCAATGCTCATAGTTATGAGAGATCAAACATATATATGGTGATTTTTTTTTAAATAATATTTTAATCTCGACATACACTATATTTCAAAGGAATCCATCGTTTTTGTTCCATGTTTCCTTTATTCTATGAATCATTCCACATTTTGACAACATTTTTCCATTTGAATGATCATGTTTTCGAGCATGTGACATTTGAAGCCAAGCAATTTCTATTTTTTTTTTTTCTTTAAGATTATTTTGTTTCACTTCCAAGAGTGTGTTATTTATTTTTTCTCTCCCCACCACAATGTGCAGATCATCAGAAATAAAATAGGTAATGAATGTACATATGTGTTTCATGCCCTTTCTGCAGTTGACTAATAAGTTCTCGTGTGGCAGGTCTAC